ACGCGATTCAAAAAAAGTATCTCAACGGAACGTGCTGTCCGCAATATTGTCCCCATATTGGCCTTCTGCAGATCGTAGGGTGGACAAACGGACGGCGACTTGAAAGATCGATCATTTTCAGAGAAAACTGCTGATACTACGTGGAAAAGGTTGATGAATGGACGCAACTTCTTTTTCCAGAAGTGGCTGCGAAGTAAATATGGATCTCTGTAAACAAAAGCAACACTTCAAAATAAGATTGATGTTGTGGTCGCTAGATCACTATGTAAAGAAAATACAATCAAGAAAACCAGAACCTCCGGAAAAGCTTACGTGAAACGTAAAACGCGAAATGTCCAAATGCAACATGGATAACTGAAAAACACGAATCTGTTTCAGGACGGCTGATCGATACTGTTATTTAGGGCAATCTAAAACAAGGGATGAAATTCAGTCAAGTAACAGTGCGCCAGTCACGAAGAGTTGGAGACTGGGATAGTTAAAGATAAGTCTTATCTAAGGATGGACAGATTCATCCGTGTCCAACATAGACTTCTAAGTAGTCAAATTATGGAACGAGCCAGAAACACTATGTAACATGCTGATTACATTTTTTATACCGTGGGAAGTTTTGACATGACGAAGAAAACAACGGCTCATTCACTTAAGCGGATTGTTCCGGTAAAGGGAGTAAGGCCTTCGCTGCGGAGTTATTTATTATAAAATGCCGACTGATCAGTTACAGACGACTGGACCGGGAGGCAAAACTCTCATACGCATTTTAATTACGAAACCTGAACATCCATCTTCTCCTGAACGCGTCCTCCGAAACTTTCCTGGACATTCATCGAGTGTTGCTCAATTCCAAGCAAATGCTTCAAAGCGAGTGCACATATCCGCAATAGATCTCCATTTTCAAGCGAATTTACAAGAAAACATACTACTCGCATGCCTCCCCAATCAGTAGTATCACTGTTACACTGGTAGTTACGTTCTTATGACTGTATGGAGATGGTCTGGACTCTTGGAGAAATTCTGTTGAAATCGCCTCTGGTGTAGCAACGTTTGGGCGAAATAATAGGTTAAATTTCGTCTCACTCGGACTAGAGTCTGTGGTTTCAGCGGAACGATAAAACTGGTAAGAAAGTTCGCGGATAAAGCCAAAGTGGTGGTTCAAAATCTTGTTGGCGCTTACAGAATGCGGAAAGACTGGTTTTCGTCTAAGCGCTCCTGTAGTCCACGGAGGACGATACGAATGATAGCGGCTCTATCGTGAGTGAAATCCAAGCTTTTTGGTACAGAATATCACGGAAAAATTTTACACCTTTGCTCACTTTTCGGAAACCCATTCTGCAGTTTCCCCCTATGTATAGACGAATTACAGTCAATCAGATATGGGGCACGTGACAAAATGTGTCTTAGAAGGGGGTTGGTAACCAACTAGTGGAGTACTGATTGCGATGCATGTGGATAAGTGCTGCGATCCATTGAAATGCACTCGAAACTGCCGATAGTAAGTTAGGTCAACTCTTCTTGGGCCATCAGAAACGTCAAGTGACAGCATCGCCGTCAACTTGATCAATCACCCCTCCCCGACCACAGTTACATCTAATTGATATGACTGAACTCGCATTACAACATCCTTAGACTGCATTTTCGCACTTCCCTGTGTTACGTTCATTTGTGTTTTTTTTTGGATTTTAGCGAAAACAGGTTTTAGTAAAGCACCCATCCAAATCAATATGCCAAACGTCATATTATTACAGCGAGCACGCTTAATCGCCAGGTGGTCTAGTTCGAAAGCAGATTACTCACTACCCTTTGACAGGTGTTTACGAATACCTAGCATATGAAGCTGACCCCGACCTAAAGCTGCCACCTTGACGTGGTGGTCGGGCTTCAGTGCTGCAATGATCCCGCGGGCTACACTGGCTGGAACTTCGTTCCACAAGGTGCAACCATGCCAGGAAGGCCAAAGGGGAGCAGCCAGACCAAGAGCAGCGAGACCCCGTACTACGAGTAATCGTGCTACGAGGCGGTCTGGGGGTAAATTCGTACTGTCCTCTGCGACAGGAATGTGAAGGCAGTAAGGTGTTTCCCCAGGCGACCAGCATGTCCATATTTATGGAAGCAGCGATGCTGCCTTCCCCCGAGGAAGGACGGGTTAGAAAAGGTCGGCCCCAAAAACCGCACACTCCGATCGCCCAACGGTTGACCGTGACCGCCGGCGCATTATCCGATACGGTCGAAATACTTTTAAAACCAAAGAGCCCGGTGCTGCTCAAAAGGCACCTGCTGTGCGCAGCCGCATCAGGAATGAGACAGTAATG